GTGACAGCAGAACTATTTGTTTCCCTTTACGGTTGGTATTATATGCCTTCAAGCATTCATATGCTTTTGATTCATGGTGCAGATATCTGTGAACGTTTTCAATTTATACCCATCGGCAAAATGTCCGAAGAAGCATCTGAATCAAGAAACAAAGAATTTCGATCGTTCCGCCAAAATTTTTCCAGGAAGAGTGGTCGTAAGGAAACTATTGAAGATATATTGCACAACTTATTGATATATTCAGATCCTCTACTTTCACATCTGCGACCAAAGCACTCTAAAAATAAAAAAGTAAACTTGCTTCCGGAAGCGAAAGAGCTGTTGTATATGGATGGAGAAGAAATTGAGAATGATTTTTAAGCATGTTTTATGTAAGTGCCTTACATATTATGTTATTTTGGAATAATATACACTCCACATAAATTATCGCATCACTTATTAATTTGGAAAACTGCAAAGTATTCATAAATTCTCTTGGTTAACAATAATCTCAAAAGTTATTTGCATTAATAGCGACTTGTTAACAACTTTGTAACGTTTTAATAAAACGATACTATTGGCAACCCAACATACACCCTACCGAATTAGTTCTGCTTAATTTCGGACACTCTGTGGATCGTACTTACCCTTGTCGGCGCAGAACTAGAGCATCTTTTTGACCATCGGAAGTCACCATTTTTGATTCAGATTTCGTGGCGTAAACATCGACATACTTATCTGAAGTCATCCGAAAAAGTTTAAACTTTTTAATTCTATTAACTTTTGGAATGTAGTCCTAGTGGTTCCTGGCATTTGGGGAAGGAATCAATTTTAAGTTTTCATGGGTATTTTTGTGGTAAGTTTGATCTTCATCACATTTTTACTCTTTTGGTTCAACCTTATCTCTTTACAGATTTTCTAAACGTGGTTTTGGTTGTCCTGTCATGAATTTAATTTTTGAGTAAACCCTCAGCATTGTGAGGTAAGTTCTAAAATTTCTAAAATGCATTTTGTGCATAAGTTGTGTCGTTTCCAGGGTTTTACCGCCCAGTTACATGGCGAGTTATATGTCGTGATTGGTGGTTTGAGGTACGAGAGCCTGTATCTATGATCCATGTTTGATTTCCACATGGCTGGTGGTATTGTAAGGGGCTGTTCGAGGCTGTGGTAGATTGGGGATGAGCTCCCACACCTAGCGTCCACACACCATCCAGAAGGACGAGCCAAAGCCTGGAATTGCACCGGATAATCAGGCCAGATTTCACATTTTTTTAATAACTCATTTCAAATCTATTTACTTACTGTTGACGAATTACGTAATTAATTATGTAATTATTAGATATCAATTTTGAATTTCATTATTAAATATAATTTTCTTAATTTTAAATATACAAATTTTTATATATTTTAATATCTTGTCAAGTATTTTGTGATGGTGTCACTTGACATATTTATTTAATTAACTTTTGATTGATTGACGGAATTATGTGCGCATACAACAAGGTTCATGAACTGCGTTAGTTTGAGGTACTTATTTAACTTTATTTTGCGTAATTTAATATTAATATATCAATGATTTTTGATCAACAAAGCAAGTGATACTATTTTTTTTTATCATACATTTAAATGTTGATTACTTATTTTTCTTAAATATTAATTCATTTTAAAATCCTAACTTCATCCACATCAATTACTGTCCTTGTCTAATATTTTTTTAATTATAAATAAATTTAAGTTGGGGTAAAGAGATCTATTATTTCTGAGTGAATGTCCTGGCGCCCAATAATTGTTGTTTTATTGATTAACTATAACACCTAATAAAAAAAAAAGAAAAAAAGAAAAAACGAACCTACGACTGCTCCCAAAGACGAAAAGCTGCCGTTTGCATTGTGTGAAGAAAACGTTACAACTTGTTGTTAAGGAATGGAAAGTATATCATAACTCAGGCAGACCTTAAGATTTAAGTTTTTCACACAAAAATGTTTGAAGCGTTTCAAAAATAAATACTACGAAAAATATAAGTATGCGAAATTTTTTGTGAGGTGTGTATTATGGCTTCCTTTGTTGAAGTTGAATACGTTTTTTTCGCATATTATCATATTATTTAATACTGTTAAAAGATAGTTTCCACTTCTGTCGTTCTCTTTGAGTTTTGCAGTCTTATCTAATTTATCCCGGATTATTTGAATATTTAAGAATGTTGATTGAGTTTTGAAATATTAGCGGGAGATAAATGATCGTTCGACAGTAATTTGATAACGTTTTTGGTCCATAAGAGCTATAAACTCTTCGTAAATAAAAAAATATACCTGTAAAGTCCTTTTATAAAACTTTTTTTTGATCTTCCATTACGCCTTTTTTTACTCTTTTTGCCCTATAGCAAAAATTCCTAGTCGTATTATTTAATTTCTGTCAAAAAATGTCAGCAAGAATAGTGATAACTGAAGAAAAATGCCAATGTCCCACTATTTTAGTTTTCGTTACACTGTGCATCGGTGCAAACTTACATTTTGCGGCTATCTAAGACCACATATCTTTTAAACAGATACTCCTATTGAAAAAACCCATGAAATAAAAGTTGATGGTAATAAAATTTTACGTTACATAGATACCTTAGTTTTTAAATTTAGTCACTTATAATTCGAAATTTGGCATCAATTCAAAATCTTTTTTTTTCGACGTTTTGAGTCATTTGAAGTTATGTAAGGTAAAAAAATATCAAAATCTTGTACCAAAACAGCCCTTCGTATTGCTTTGCAATGTTAAAGTAATATACACAACCTGAGTAGAGATTCGAGTAGTAGAAATAAAAATCATTATTTATCAGAGTTCCGTATTTCCATTAAATCTTTAATAAGTATTAATAATATTAATTAAGTAAGTAAATTAATCATAGTTCTTAATAGTGTAGGTGCAACAAAGTAACAAAAACACTTAAAGCCTATTGATGAAATATAAATGTAATTATGGTATAAATCAATAGACATGCAGCACAAAATGTGGCGGCATTCATGTTCGCATTTTCTTAGATGTCGATGGCCCTTCATTTGAGAAGCTTGGAAGGCGCGGTTGCATATCGAGGTCCTCTTCATCGAGATCATCTTCAAAGGGACCATTCTCACCTATTTCTGCTTGTCGCTTACAGCAATGTCTCATTCTCATCCTCGAAGGGTGCTGAATTCGAGCATGACTGACCGTTGCGGCCTTTTGTTGAACATTTCATGCCTACTTTTCGGCAGTTGCACTTCCCTGTACACTCCTTTGAACATCTGCAGGACACAGTATTGAGAATTTCAGCTGGAGCTGGATCCTTGGTGTTTATGATGGGGAGAATATATTTGATCATCTAATGGTTTTAGTGTCTTGTCTTTTAATTATATCTCAATTTTTTAAAACGGAACGAGGGTGGCTCATTAGCATATTTGGAAAAAGCATTTTTTAGGAATAATTTGATACCACACACTTGGTATATTTCAAGTCAAATTTTCGTTATGAACCGCAAGTTATAATTTAAAATAAACCATGCAAAAATGTCAAAAGTTGACATATGATACATATGTCATTCTATTCAGAGTGTTATTTTCTATCGAATAAAGTAAAAAATACCGAGAGTGCCATTTAAATATCAAAAGTTGTAGTCATTTCCGATGAAACAGGAAGTGGCCGAAAACAATTAAATACGTCAACAAATTCGTTTATCTATGTATGTGTAAAATTGGAATTTTTCATTGATTTATCTACATTTGACTATTAGATACCTGAGAAATTGCGATGCTGCCAATATGCACTCAACGCATGTCCAAAAAAATAATTTGCAAGGCAACACGAATTTTGCTTGCCGCTTTAAAAGCGTAACGTCTTTATGTGGTTCCAGAATTCGGGCCTTGAACAGTTCAAAACTAAATTCGGCGATACGGCAACCGTTCCGTGCCATAAACTTTGGTAAGGCTGATGTTGGAGATGGAGAGCTGACCTCTGTGAAGCCGTCTCAGATACTGGCTTTTGTCAAAGCCCTGAGACTCTGTGATGAGTTATAACTCGTTGTAACTCAAGAAAGGGGAACACACAACGATCTGTAAGGTCGGAGTGATTAATCCCCCTCCTAAACATTCTACACTCTAATATACTTTAGTTAAATAATAGTTTATCATTTCAGTGGGCGCACAAGCTCTTCCTTTACTATGGTATATAGACAAACATTGCTCAAATTTGTATTGGCTATTTGTCTGTATTGATCTAGTGTGGGTCCAATTTGGTGTAACAATTTGCCTGTATCCTTTGGAATTCTGTACGTATTTAATTTTAAATCTTGTATTGCAAGTAAGTGATAATATCGAATTAAACTTACTTGCTTTATTTATATTTTCCTCACTTGTAATTTGCAGGTAAATCTGATAGTTAATTATATAAAGGACAACAAGGTATTAAATTTACAAGAAGACAATAAATTTAGCAATATTAATACACAAAGCAAGTATTACCAAATAAATGTTAGCAATGAATTAAATATCCTTTATAAAAGGCATTTAATTTTAACTTGGTATTCTATAATTTATTTTTGTCGGCTCAATTCTTAATTTGAATGTTTCAGGTATATGGATGTAATTCGTAATTCGTTAATTACAAGATTTATTGGTGGTGCTTTATTAATACAGGGTCTATCAGTATTACCGCTTATAGCGTCATGTGCGAACTCAGTTAAAGGTGTAAGTATCTTTGTAAATAATGTCTATACCTTTGTGGTGGATATATTTCTTCAAAAAAGTCTTCTGCACAGAGAAAACACTATCGTATCTATATAAGAATCGCTTTTAAATCGCTTTCAAAACGTCTTTCGACGTTTTGCGATGCCTAGTCGCCATTGGTTTCGTTCATTCCAGTCTCCGTCACGCAGATCCCTTGCGTGGAGTCACGCATCGCCTTCTTGACACCCTCCATCCAGTTTGTCCTCGGTCTTCCCCGTTTCCTTCTCTTTTGTAGAAGCTAGTTTAGCACCTTCTGATGCCTATTGTCCATCCTTCTCAATGTCCATACCACTTCAGTTGGGCACTCTCTATTTCCTCTACTATAGTTCTCTGTCTACCCATTTTGTCACTGACTATCTCGTTTCGTACTCTATCCAGCCTTGATGTTCGTGCTGATGTTCTTATCGCGTCCCTTTCTACCGCCAGTAATTTTCTTTTCTTATTCTCCATTAACCTCCATGTTTCCGCCCCAAATAACATATTGCTCTTGATTATCGCACCATAAATCCTTAGTTTTCTGTCTTTACCTATTTCGTTGCTCCAGAGTATATTATTCAGACATTATATTCTCGAGCTTATTTCGTTGTCGTCTTTCCCAGATTTATCGAAAGTAACGCCTAGGTATTTGTATTCGTTACATGTTTGTATGTATTCATTATCCAGTTTTATAGCTGTTTAATCCGATCCAATGCAGAGATATTTAGTGTTTGTGATATTCATCTCCGGTCCCCAAACTTGGTATTCCTTTTTAAGTTTTCGTGTCATATATTCCAAGTCATCTTTGTCTCCTGCACAAATAATCTGGTCGTCAGCGAATTGCAAAGTGTATACGCAAGAACCTTCACTTATTGGTATACACATGCCTCTACACTTACTTTTCCACTGCTTTAAAACTTGATTGACGTATATTTAAAATAATGTTGGTGACAGACAACACCCTTATCTTAATCCTTTTGATATTTTTAAGTGGTTTTGATATTCTATTTCCAGTTTTTATTGAGGAAAAAGAATTTTTATATATCTTTTGTATTCATCTACAAAAATAATATCATTACGCCAAAGATACACTACTTTCCCCATTCCTCAAATATAACAGTGTTTGAATCGAAATATATCTTGTTATTGCATACGGAATATACACTATCGCTGTCTCAAATATGAATTCATTGGTTAACAATACATCATTTAACTACATCGTTAATTGGATTTCAATAGGAGTCTACTTATTTTGCTTTTAGTGCCAATATTATACCGGGTGCGTCTCAGAAGTGGCTCACCCCTATAACTTTTTTATTTTTTCAGTTAAAAAACGAGATTTGGTATGTTAGTATATGACATAAATTAGGATTTATTGACGTATTCAATTGTTTTCGGCCACTTCACCGAAAATGACTACAACTTTTGATTTTTAAATGGCACTCTCGGTATTTTTTACTTTATTCGATAGAAAATAACACTCTGAATAGAATGACATATGTATCATATGTCAACTTTTGACATTTTTGCATGGTTTATTTTATTAATAATAATTTTATTAATTAATAATTTGCGGTTCATAACAAAAATTTGATTTGAAATATACCAAGTGTGTGGTATCAAATTATTCCTAAAAAATTCTTTTTCCAAATATGCTAATGAGCCACCCTCGTCCCATTTGAAAAAATTGAGATATAATTAAAAATACGATTTGGGCGTCTTTTAACCGGTTAGGACAAGACACTAAAAACATTAGATGGTCAAATATATTTTTCCAAGACTCCTTGATTAAGAATTAGTGTTTTTAACATAGCCATGGCACTATAGATTGAAATTTAAAATACATTTTTTTATTAAACGAGAATGTCAAAAATTGACATATGATATGTCATTGTATTCAGAATGTCACATTTTATCGAATCAGTGCCTTCTATTAAAAGATCAACCTGGGGGCGGACTTTTGTTTACTTCATCAGCTGTACATACTTAGATATTGGGTTAGATTCCGTTTCAATATTTTGTCGGTTGATTTTTGGTTTTAACTCTTTGATTTTTGGTATTATTTATTATTGTAGTGCAAAAAACTAATTATTTTAGTGTTTCATAAACTACTACCAGATATATGGTCACTCTCGGTTTCGCATAGAAAAATAGAAAAATTGAAAAATTACACGTTGTGTAAGTGATTTAACCTAAAAGTGCCCATACATTTTTTACTCATCGTGATTTTTGTGTGTGTTTTTTAAGACTCTAACAATTCATCAATAAAGCTTAAGTGGATTGTGTTTTTGGTGCTATGCCTCATCTTTGTTGTGTTCCTGGTGGAAAGGATAGTTATACTAGGCAGCCTAAAGTGTCCGGAAGAGCAAGAAAAGTGGGTACGAGTTATAAATCAAGAGAATTCTATTGAAAATATCTTTAATAAATTTAAAAATAATATTCTCCCATGTTGGTATTAATGAAAACTGGACAATTATGTTTATTTTATTCATATTGTGGAATCTCCACTCCAAGTGTTGTTGGTTCAGCTTCGATAGATTCAAACACGTAAGTAGGTATTATGATCTAGGGAAAAATAAAGAATATGTGTATTAAAGATCATGAAAAAGATTATTATTTTGAGTTCAAATTTTAAAAAAGATTTTTGTAAAGACAAGACTGATACAGTCTAAAAGAAGAATGTGTTTTTGTTTGATAATATATAATGTATGTCAAGCATAACATATATTTGTTCAGTAATTTTTAATGAATAGTGTTGATTATTTATAATACCAAATTAATATCAAATATTTAAGTGATGGCTGAATAAAATATGAATAAAATAACAATAAAATTGGTATATTTGCATAATACAAAATGAAGTTTTAGGAATAAAGGTATTACTAAAAATACTAAGAAATTCATATTTCTTTGTTTTAATTGGTCTAATGTTATTTACATTTTATGTAAGAATTATACCGTATCATCGAAAAAAATCGGCGTCTAGCTGGCTTGGAAATGAACATCGATGACATTTCCTAAATAACTGTACACATAAAATAATTTAGAAAAATAAAATTTTAAAATAAAAAAATAAAAAATTTTAAAAAATAATCTAGAAAACTAGAATTTTACAATCTTGGAAAATTTGATATTCTTGAACCTTGTTTCTAAATATTCTAAATTTTTTGATTTTCTGGGGATTTAGGTTCGGGAAAAACGCTGATTAAGTTTTCATTTGGTTTTTCATTATTTTTATTTGGTTTAAAAAAAAACGTTTCGGCTAACATTATAGCCTTCATCAGTGTTGTGTCATATGAAAAAAATAGTGTCGAGTATAATCCAAAAAATTACATATAAAATATTCACACCACGCACATAATGTTTACTGCGTACTCCATAGTCAATGTAGATAATTTTAGTGTTAAGAATAATAATTTTAAAAAATATGTGGTCATCTTTTGATAAGTTTATATTAGTTTATTAATTGCAGGAAACATTATGAGGTGTGAATTATATTGTTATATGTAATTTTTTGGATTATATTCGACACTATTTTTCTCATATGACACAACACTGATGAAGGCTATAGTTAGCCGAAACGTTTTTTTAAACCAAATAAAAATAATGAAAACCCGAACCTAAAAATCCCAAGAAAATCAAACATTTTAGAATAATTTTACATATAAAATGCCAGCGATCTTCATTTCATACCCATCGCTGACGCCTTTTTTTAGATAATATTGTATTATTTGTAAATATAATTTTTCGAACCTTGATACTTGCAAAATATACATATAAATTTTGTGAATGCAAATAATAATACATCACTATTAGTAGATATTGAATGTTTTTTGTTAAATTAGATCGATTTTTAAACCCCTAAATTTAAAATATATTTACATTTTACCCATTATCTTATGTACCCATACATTATTTGTACATTGTAAAACATTTGCTGCATTTGTATAGTTCATAGTTTATTTGCCAAAGTATTTATTACTATAAATAGGTATATATGTTGTAGTTATTAACTGTATATTATGTATATTTCATGTAAACTATATCATTTTTAAAATACAAACCAAAAATCTGAGGAATAATTATATTTTCCATGTATTCTACAACATATTTATTAATCCGTTATATCTAACTAGCGTGACGTCATAAATCTCGCCCGTAGGCTGATCTTTTAATAGAAGGCACTGATCGAATAAAGTAAAAAAATACCGAGGGTGCCATTTAAAAATCAAAAGTTGTAGTCATTTCCGGTGAAACAAGAAGTGACCAAAAACAATTGAATACGTCAATCAATCCTAATTTATGTCATATACTAAAATACCAAATCTCGTTTCTTTATCTGAAAAAATAAAAAAGTTATAAGGGTGAGCCACTTTTGAGACGCACCCGGTATATTTCTATACAATTTTAAAATTATATTTACTTATTTTTAGTATAAGTTACTTGTAATTGCGGTATCCATAATCCTCGCAGTTTTAAGATTCGCATATGAATTTTTCGACATGGCCCATACCCTGGAGAACGAGGTAATCTTTTTGGTGTTACTATTAATAGAAGTAGAGTAAGTAATCGTACGGGTAATTTGACACTAAAACAAAAGATTGTATTATAATTCACTCAAAAACTAACTAGCCAGTGGTTTTTTCCTTCTCAACAAATTTTCTAACAAAAAGAACACTTAAAGTTTTTGGATAGGTTGAGGATACAGACTAAATTTGTTATAATATGTAAGTGTTTATTTTAGCGGTTAAAGGTTAATCCTTTTAATGATTTGACGATTGTTTTTATAGTAAAGAGCCATAAAGAAGGTGTTCAACTGCCCAAGTAGCATCTATCTGACTTCGAACTAAATCTGACCTGAAGCGACGTCAGACTTTGTGCAAATTTAGGTCGGGTGCTGGTGATTCGACCGGTGACGTCGCTTTCCTATTAAAAACGACGTCGTTGGATCCGAGTCGGTAAATCCAACGATCTGTCGACGTACAAAATAACAACGTACCATTTTTATTAATATCCCAACGTCGGCGTCGTTCCCACGTTGGCTTGCACGACGTATATATATTTGAACTAGCCCGACGTCTACCCGTTGTCCGAATAGGATACGTCGCACTGATAATCCTTGAAGTATCGTCCAATTATATTTTGTTGTATTTTATGTTCATATTTATAACCTAATTTAGGTATCTCTATTTACGTCCGTAAATACTACCCATTAAGTAGCATTTGCGGCCTAATGAACATCATGAACATAGCCTAATAAAACGTTTTTGTAAACAAACTTAATTTTTTTATTATGCCTAAAAACACCAAAAAGGCATTTAGACATTCATCTACATTTTACAGAATGAGGTCGAGGCTTTTGCAAAATAATAATAGTAGTAGTGATGTCTTGCCTCCACCCATGAATTCTTTTTATCCGGAAGAGATGCTGCATTACACTGGTGCATCTTAATTTCTTTTTTTAGCTTAGGAAATCAGCAGATTCCATCCTCCTACCACATGTGAGGTACTGGTTCCAATTCTTTTAAATTTTGTATATATACTATCTTAAAAAAGTGGCTGCCCATTTTTTTAAGGAGAATACAAAAACTAAAATATAATTGCACAAATCCACAAATCACTGATACGCAAAGTGAGGTTACCCCTACCAACCAACCGTTGAACCGTCAACCGTCAAACAATTGACCTATCATAGACCAATAACAGACAACGTCGGGAATCGTTTATCAGGAATACGAAAAATTATATGCTCTGTGGCCAACGACGGATGCTCCTACGTATGCCGGCCGTTCGCAAATTTTACGTCGCGTACGTTGAAATTATATACCTCATAATACGATTGCCGGTCGTCCGGTTTGATGACTTCAGTCGTGTGAGACGATTAATGTTGGAGACCCGGTCGGAATTGGTATATTGGTAGTTCATATTAAGTCGGACACAGAAATCCGCCATTCTTAACAAGTATCCGATTGTCAGCCATTTTAAAATCGTTTTTTGTTTTTAAAATTTATATTCACATTTCGATTTCTAGTAGAATGATATTGATAAGGTTGAGTTTGGGGGGAACCACAGTACAGTTTTATGATTAAACCAGCAAGAAAATAAAAAAAATATATATTTTGCGAGTTACTTTTTATAGATATTTTTATTTCATAAATCTACCTAATTTTGAAGGCGCTCGTAGTTTTCCGGAGTATTTTAATCGGATATATAAAAAAAGTGACTGCCGTTGACTAAACTGATGTCTGGATTAATGATTCAGAATTATTATAATATGAAATTAGGTAGGCACTTATATTCGAGGAGTGATTATGAATGCATTTGTAATTAGGTAGTTTGATTAGGTTTTTATGTATTATTGGTAGTGAGTTTGAAACCAAACGTAACGTAAGTGCTTAGCGACGAATTTTAAAGAAGTAACTGAGATCCAACGTAATATGACGTTGGTAATTGGTAGAATTACATTCCCTATTAGGTCAGATACCGACGCGACGTCGAGGCGGCTCGAATCTGTATTCCCCATTTAGGTGCGAATAAGGGTGGTCAGGCGGTCGAACCGACGTTGGTACCCGACGTCGGGTTTATTGAACGCGACGTATACCCGACGTTAGATAACGTCCAAATGCTACTTGGGTGGAATCTAACTCAATGACAATAAAAAAATATTTTTTTGTCTTAGCATCACTGTCAAAATACCTAGTTTCCTCAACATGTACTTTTAGATGTTTAAAAAAGTAATATATGTATTTTAGTTTGAAAATATACATAAGGCCCTTCTCAACGTCTCATGGTACTACTGGGACACAAAAAATAAAAGGTCATATATGTTAATTCTGTCAAAAACACAAAATGCTACAAGCCTTATAGCTGGGTTTAATATAAGAGCAAACAGGGAATCCTTTCTTATGGTAAATATGATATGTACATATATGTTACAGACAATGCAAAACCGGCCTTTACCAGTAAGAGCCATTAACATGAAAATCCAAAGGAGTCGCGATAACTCAGCAAAATTTTCCTTGAAATTTTTGTAACTTTTTTGACGGCATATTGGCTAACGTTCCAAAGCGCAAATTTGTCCCAATTTAACCACGTTCGTATCTATTACGGTTTTCTAGGTATCAATGCTCCTCAATATCAATGTATCTCGAATTTGTACCACCCTGTATACTCTAGGTATCTATATTTTTTATTACAACACAGAGAAAATTGTACAGTTTATCAACAACTTTTAATAATTTATTAATTTTATTATAATTAAATATTAGGTACTTAGGTATATCAAGAATAAAAATTTATTACATTTTAATTGTTAGGAAATTTTTGAATATGATTCTATATTATATACTATTATATACTAATTTTTATTTAGTTATAAATGATAATTAACTTTTTTTTGTTTTAGTATGCCAGATTTTTCTATGGAGTATTGAACTTTTTATTCAATATAAACTAAGAATATCATCGAATCAGCATATATTGCCAATTAAGTGCTATTTATATATTTGAGTTACATTATTCTAACTTATATACCTACTGCCTGCCAAGTAAAAAATATTCTGCTCAAAATGTTTACCTTCCAAATAATATGGTAACTAGAAAAAAATCAGCCTCTCGGTAAACACAGGTATTAATTTTATAAATTTCAGTTATTCCTAGATTATACGAATTTATAATTTGTTTTATTACCTTTCTAAAATATACTTCATTGTATCTAAATAATAGTGTTTAAATTCAACTGACCTTTAGAATATAAATTCCAAACATTTTATGTATTAATTATGTATAATAATATGAAATAAAATACTTTAAATACATTTTGTCAAATAATTTTAATTGTGTAAACATTTAAAAAGAGTCCTAACGGCACTGTCAGATGGAGCGGACAGTACGCGCGGATGTTTTTTCAATATAGCTCATCCGGACGGAGCATACGCGACCCATGTGAAATCGTTCATATAAACTCATGGCACTTGCTCGAAGTCGCGAACGCTCCGCTTCTTCTGAAAACGCTGTAACAGCGCTTTCAGATGGAGCGGAGCGTCCGCGCGTACCGTCCGCGAGTTCCATGAAGTTTAAATGAACAATCTCACATGAGTCGCGTATGCTCCGTCGGGATAAGCTATTTTGAAAAAACATCCGCGCGGACGGTCCGCTCCATCTCTAAGCGCTGTAAGACCTAACAGCGCTTCCAGATGGAGCGGACCGTCTGCGACGGAGCGTCCGCGCCTTCAAGCAAGTACTATGTGTTTATATAAACAATTTTAATGGTCGCGTATGCTCCGTCCGACGGAGTTCATCCGACGGCTATTTTGAAAAAAACACGACGGACGGTCCGCCGCGGAGCCTCCGCTCCATCTGAAAATGCTGTAAGATTCAGTAATATTATTATAGATTAGTTCGAAATATATTAATGGTCTACCTAGCCAAGAAAAATATAGGATAGTACGTTTTTTAATACTGTACTTTTTTAAGACACTATTAAAAAATTAATAAACGTATGTAAACTATAGATTTACTTTTGATTATTTCTAATCTGCACTTTAACACTTTCTAATAATTATAATATACCGGGTACGTCTCAAAAGTGGATAACCACTAAACCTTATTTTTTACAACTTTTGATTTTAACAACACATTGGCTACAACTACAGTACTACAGTACTACACATTGCCTACAACTTTTGATTTTTAAATGGCACCCTCTGCATTTTTTTTTATTCGATAGAAAATGACACTCTGAATAGAATTACATATTATATGTCAACTTTTGACATTATCGCTTAAAAATATTTTAAATTTCAATTTAGTTGTATAAAAACACTAATTTTTAATCACGGAGCCTTGGAAAAATAAATAATTTGATCGTTTAATATTTATAGTGGCTTGTCCTGGCCTGTTAAAAGATGCCCAAATCGTATTTTTAATCATATCTCAATATTTTCAAACGGAACGGGGTGGCTCATTAGCATATTTGGAAAAGCATATTTTTACGAATAATTTAGTTAAACACACTTGGTATCGAGTCAAATCGTCGCTATTAACCGCATGTTAAAATAATTACAAATAAACCATATGGAAAATTTCAAAAGTTGACATCAGGGGCGGGAAAGTGAAATAGCAAAAGCGGTTCCACCGTTTCCACGGAAATCTCAAATAAAATAGTTCCAGCCCTAGCCACTAGGTGGTAGTGCAATTAATTTTTAGGTTAAGAAGTTGCTACTAGTTATTGCCAGATGGCGTTAAATCAGAATTTTTTTGTAGTTTCCATAGTATCCAACGGCCATTGTCATATTATTGTCAAATTCTCAAAAAATATTGTCGTTGTCATAGCGCCAATCATAATATTACCAAATAACTGATTATCAAAATGTTTTTCGAACTATAATTTGTTATGTGTGTTTTAATTAGACAATTCCTTTTGTTTGTGGCCCTAAAAATATAATGTAAGTCTTTTATTTTTGCCATCATTTAAGTACCTATTTACTATATTTACTCCATTTACAAAACTTTGGGCGTATTACGCGTTGGTCTTGTTTTATTATAATAAACGATGTTTAAGTATTTGACTTATAAATAAAACTTTAAATAATAAATAATATTTCACATGTTTGGCTTTAATCTTATTTAATAATTGTATAAATTATACTGTTAAATCTTATTTTTTTTACACATCACAACGATACTTGTTATTAGTATTGTTCAATTTGTGTAAAAATAAGATGTAATAATCAAATTTAATTATTTTACAGTAAAATTCAATAAATACGCTCATTTAATAAGCCAGCGCTTCGATCCATTTAAAACAAACCCTACTCAATAGGATCACTTCTGTAGGACCATTTTTCAGTATGGCAGAGTCCATTCTTTTTCTAGCTAGGTATATTCTTTGGTTGACATATGATATGTCATTCTATTCAGAGTATCATTTTCTATCGAACAAAGTAAAAAATATCGAGGGTGCCATTTAAAAATCAAAAGTTGTAGTCATTTCTGGTTGTTAGCTCGCAAGTTTGGTTATCGCGGTTTATACATATTTCGTGTGCCTAGTACCTATTTGTAAGCAATTATTCCAAGTACTTTTAAAGTAGAGGGAGATGGCCGATTCACCATCCACCGCAGCCGCCGCGCGCACTGCACATGCGAGTAAATCAGCTAAGAACATGTAAAATAGGTTAATAAACAAGAATAAACAGGTTTGATCCGCTTTGAACAGCTATTGAACTGCTTTGAACGGGTTTGAACAAATACTGAACAGGTCTGTTGTTTTACGCTAAAAAGCCGTTCAAAGCAGTTCAAAAGCTGTTCAAAGCGGATCAAACCTGTTTATTCTTGTTTATTAACCTATTTTACATGTTCTTAGCTGATTTACGCGCATGCGCAGTGCGCCCGGCGGCGGCGGTGGATGGTGAATCGGCGATCTCCCTCTACTTTGTAAGCACACGACCGCTCGAGTAAATGTCCATGTAACATCTTGTGCTTCCCAATATACCGACATATAAACAATACTTATACATTCCTTACAAGAAGAAAATGTTGGCTGTTTTTTGCTATATTTTAAATTCTTATTTATTGATTATAAAATCATAAATAACGAAACTAAAACATAGATAATGTTTATAAAGAATAGCGAATAACCTGAATGCATTATTAATTACTTCATATAATAGTTTGTCTTTCAAGCTGATTGTGTAAATAAAAGCAGTTAGAAAAATATAATATTCAATTTTATATATCTAAAAATAACTTAGACATTCATCGTTGAAAATGGACAACTGTATAAAGGTTTTACCACAAACTGGAATTTACAGGTCCTATTTGTATAATTCTATGTTGTATTTGTTTATACTTCCGTGCGTAATAATTATTTCTTTAGAAATACTAATCATTTTTAAATTCAATTTAACAGGACATATTCTTTATACAATGGCGATATTTTGTCATCTAATGGTAAGTAAATAGATGTAATATATTCCCTAAAAAATATTCTTAATAGTTACTATATTAAGTTTTTATAAAAGTGTATATTCCATATACAGAGTGTTGCATTGCCGACTTGAACATAAGAAATTTCATGATCTAGCTAGAAAAAAAAGTAGCGAACACTTCACTAACTGGATCAAACCTGTTCTCCTGTAAGTCATGGTGCAGCAAGTGCATGGCATAAGAATCTGCCCAACAGCAGCAACGGAGGTCATTCTAGATCTAACACCGCTGCACACTGTCATCAGTAGATATGCTAAGGTGTCAATGATTACAATGGCTTGGAACACACTCCGAAAAAAAATCCTTCCAAATTCCAGTAGATAACATGCCCAAAAACTTTGAGAAACACCTCACGGTAGTATTGAGCAATAAAAAAATAGGAAGGGAGAAACGTTTGCTCAGTAGACAAAAGATAGTACCATAACATGGTATAATGATGCTTCTAGAACCAAAGCAGGAACAGGGATAGGAGTATTTGGGCCAAAAACTAAACATTCCGAACCAATGAGCACTTACACAAGCATCCTTCAGATAAAAATCTACGAAAGATGCGTACAACTTATAGCAGAGAGGAACTACCGGAAACAAAAAATAGCCATTTTATCCGGTAGTCAAGAAGCATTAAAAGCGATCATCTCAGTAACCATCAAAGAATCCCTACACTAAAAACCTTGTAAAAAAAATTGCTAATGAATCAAATAAAATCAGACATATTTTGGCCTCATTAATGGTTATAATTGAATTAATAAGACATGTATTGATTTTATGTATATACTCGTATATATAAAACATACATGATCATTGTCTTTGTTAGTGGTATATCAGATTTAGAATAAAAATGCTGCCTATTTGATTTAAAGAAATATATATTTGTTTATTAGTGTTTTCCTTTCCAAACCAAACCAAACCAAACCAAACCAAACCTTTCTCTTTATATTTTAAAGTGCAATGCTTAATGATTTATTTATATGTCACTTTGTTTAAAGCTTGAGTCGATTTTAATCGAATAGGATCAGTACTAACAATTTAAATGAATTTCAATTTAATTTTTTTAGGTTCCTAACGCCACTATAGATGAGAAAACCGTGCTATGTTGAATTTAAAAAAGTGGGGGTCCTTAAATAAGGATTCGAAAGACTCGAAAGTCAATCACTCCTCCTTTAGCGAAAAAATATTGTAGCTGCGTAATACATTAAATTTTCCACCCTGTACAAATTTCTGTTCTGTACAGGGTGAGTCAACGATAGAGTAAAGTCCATTATCTCATTTGTTTGGAGGTAAAATAAATATTAAATACAAAAGTTATACGGAAGGTTAAGATACACATTTTAAAATTATTGTAGAATATACTATAATGAAAAATGTCTATACCTATGTGGCGGATACATCTTTCCAAAAAAATCATTTATGGGTATTTCGCCACTGCACTGCAAGAAAATCTACAAAATAAAATAATTATTTTTTGTAAACACTTCTGCGTTAAACCTAAACGGACGCTGCTTGTCAGAAGTTATGTTTACAGTAATACAAATTTGCCTAACAAAGAAAAAAATGCTTAACGTTTCGGAAAGTTATCTCTTTCCGTCGTCAGAAGCAAAAAAATACAAAGAATAAAAAAAAACTATTTAAAATATTTAAATTCAACTATTCGAGAACACTTTACTTTTTTTAAAACAGATACATACATATTAAAATGACATTTTTAACTTGATATTTAAACTTCAAAATTAACAATTACTACCTGATAACAATTACTTAATAAGGTAAAACCAAAAAGCCCCAAACTTTCTGTATGATTATTTTTAAATTTTACGTATGTTAAACGTACGTTGTTTACGTATCTATTTTTCTTTAAAATCAGAGAAGCGATTGCCATACATTACTAACATCTACAGATGCATGAGTAATACATTTATTTTAATTAGATTGAATTAAAAAAGCCTCTTTTATTTTTCTTTTAGAGGCTATCGCTTCTTTCATTATAATTTTGGCGTTATTAAAATTTATTCTGTGCCCTGTGTACCAGGAATGCTGACAAATCTTAAGCTGCGTATAAATATGTCGAGACGAGTGCGAGAGACACCCGAGACGAGTCAACCTCAAGCGGATTTGAGGTTGACTCGTCATATTGGGACGGGGTCTGAGCTTCGAGCCGAGCCTATGCCCAGCCGGACGGCGTTGTCTCCGTTTTTTCCGGAGCCTTTGGCGAACCATCATAAGGATTGGGGCGTCTATTTAACCAGTGGCGTATACACCGCGGCTCCGCGGAACAATTGCCTCGAGTCTCAAGGGGCTCGGATTCCACATCCCATTTTTATATAAAAAGAAATATTCTTTCCTTTATTTGTAATAATGTTAATAATGCATCCTAACTAGAAAGATGCAATTTTGTCTTCTCTAAAATAGTATAGGTAAGTTAGCCAAAGTAGGTAAATCTCATGTACAAAGATTTATTAGTGATTTCTTTTATAAAAACATGAAAATTTTATGAAAAATGAATAAACGTAATGAACTTTTCGTCGAGTTATTAACGACTCAAACGTAAATTATGCGCTATTTCTGCTGAACGGAATTAAAGATGTAAAACAAGCTTCTTTACATATAGGATACATAGAAGATAAGAGAGGCAAATCGAGTGTGTTGAAAAAGGTGGCCATGCTCTCAGAAGTTTCTTACGGTACTCTCATAAATAAAGGGAATCGACAAAGAAAGGAACGATTCGATATAGAAAAATCCAGAAATTTGAACTATCCAGACTACTAAGAACTTAATTTATGGCAAATATGAAAATAATAAAGTTCCCGCCATAGAAATAATTAAAAAAACTCTCCGAGCTTTAAAAACCCTGTTCAGAAAGCACATTACGGCGAAGGTTTAAAAACTGGGAATTAGATTTAAAATTATATACATAATAATATTTTAAAAATTATTAATAAGCGTGCTGCAATGATGGAAAGCCATAGAATAATAATGTGGCGAATTGAATACCTTGAAAAAACATACAACTTTAGAAATGAAGAAATGCAGATATATTATTTACAATATATGTTCCAGGTTAGTTATTGGCATTTAAATGTAGATTTAAATTAATAATTTAAATCTTAATTACTTAAATTTCTAATTTTTTAAATAAATAAAGTCGAATTAGGTCTTATCTTACAGCGCTTTCAAATGGAACGGAGCGTCCGCGACGGACCGTCCGTGACTTCGAGCAAGTACCATGAGCTTATATGAACAATTTCATCTGGATCGCGTATGCTCCGTCCGGAAGAGCTATCTTGAGAAAAAACATCCGTGCGGACGCTCTGCGCGTACGGTCCGCTCCATCTGAAAGCGCTGTTACGCTATTTAAAATTTTTATAGATATACAAACCACATACAAAATATATTATTGAATAAAATAATTAAAGACTCAAAAAACGGCACTGGTAGAAGGCTCCGCCGCCGCCGCTGCCGTGCCGTTATCTCCAGGTATCTCAGTCGGCTTTCTTCAGTTATTTTAATGTAAACAGTCCCAATATAATTTAAATTTATCATGAATTCCTTTAATTTATCTAGCTTGTTTTTTACCTATTTTGAAATTAAATAAACATATACAGGGTATTTCAAAAACATGTTCCATCTCTCGTGTGGGAAGTTCCTCACGTAAAAATAAGATTTATTTTTTATATCAACCAATCCAATTCTGCTTTGATTCATAGTTATTTTATAATTAGTAGTTTATTTTTTTATTCATGTAGCTACAGGGGGTTAAAATAGGGTTCCCAACCGTCCTCTATTCCAGAAACAGTCCTCTTTTTGATCTGATTGTCCTCTTTTCTCTCACGTATTGAAAACTTTGTTACATACCAACTTCAAAATCTAAAAATATTCGTTTATCGCCACAATGCTTTAAAGAATTGTTAATCTGTGTCTTTTATGTAATTTTATGTTTCCTTACTGTTAGTTTATGTCTTGAAAAAAGTTTTGTTGACAATGGTTTGGTTTTATTTTAATAAGTTTTGAGTATAAATATTTTTGTTTATTTTAAATATTTATCGCATACCGTTTATATAACTTTTGGTAAATTCTCGACATTTGAGCGACGTTTCAAAAATGTTTCGCCTGTGCCTTTTTTATCCTCTCGCCCCTATTTTTTATTTTCAAAGTTGCCAACCCTAGGTTAAGTGTTTTATCATTTTCTTCCAAGTGCTTTTAGTAATTTGAGATCGTTTGATGACTGATTTAGTTCTGATCCGGGTAGTTTTTTTGTATAAAACAGTGCCACCATCGTCGATTTTTTTTCGTTAAATGCGAATAAGAAAATATCCTGATTATATTCTGGCCTTATCCCTTATTATTTTTATTTCCAAGCGATCTTAAGTTTATAACATATACATATATTTTATTTAATTGTTAACATTAGGGTAGTTTTACCAATTGTGTATGTGTGGAATTCCACTGATATGTGTTTTAAGTTGTTTGTTAAATTTTTAAAATTTTTTGATTGTATTTTGCTCTCTTAACTTTTAG